CTCTGTACCCTGCTAGGGATTCTCTCTCTCTCTCTCTCTCTCCCTCTCTCTCTCTCATGTTGCCCCTACTCCAGGCATGCATGTACAGGCACCTGCATGTTGTCTGTCAAAATAAATGAAAAAATTTTCGAAAGGAGTTACTTGATTTATCATATATATTGGTTGAAAACTCAACATTTTATTTTTTTTTAACTTTTTTTAATGTTTATTTATTATTGAGAGACAGAGAGAGACAGACTGTGAGCAGGGGAGGGGCAGAGAGAGAGGGAGACACAGAATCTGAATCAGGCTCCAGGCTCTGAGCTGTCAACACTGAGCCTTGACGCGGGGCTCAAACTCACAAACCAAGAGATCATGACCTGAGCCGAAGTCAGATGGTTGAGCCACCCAGGCGTCCCTAAAAAGTCAACATTTTAAAGCATATTTGTAAGTTGGTACATTGTGATTTACAAAATTCTAATATTCTCTTTGGTACTTTTAAAGAAAAGTTTTGGTAATATAGTCACTATAACACATGCCAAAACTGAAAACATTGAATCCTAATAGGAATGATATAACTGAAATAAGTTATGAAATCCTAAAAGGAAATTATGGGAACTGGAGTTTTTCCCTGTTGCATGGTTGAATAATCCAATGTTCTTCCTCAGATAACCCCATGATTATTTTAAAAGTTGTTTCAAGTAATGCCCTTCATTTTCACAGTGTTGAGAGGAAGTATTCACATTATCTAATTTTGTTAAAGGTGTTCTTAATTCTATCCAGAGGTCATTGATGGCTGGAAATTTTGTGCAAAATTGAATGTTTATTCATTATCTTACATAGAATTTTCATTTTGTTAATCAAATTCTCAGACCCATAGTCCCAAAATGATAAAGAATACTGTGTTTTAAAAAACGTCTAGTTTTGGGGGTGGCTCAGTCAGTTAAGCATCCAACTTCAGCTCAGGGCTCCAGCCCTGCATTGGGTTCTGTGCTGACAGCTCGGAGCCTGGAGCCTGCTTCTATTCTATGTCTCTCTCTCTCTCTGCCCCTCCCCCACTCGTGCTCTGTCTCTCAAAAATAAATAAACATTGAAAAAAAATTTTTTAAACCTCTAATTTTTAACTAATTCAAAACCCACATTTGAAAGATGCTAACAAAATTATTTTGGTCTCTGTTACTAAGTCTGAAAGACAGTTTAAGATAGTTACTAGCTCCATCAGGTAGGAGTGGGTAGAAAATGAATTTTGCCTTATTTATGCTCATTTATTTTGATTGCCAGTACATATTGCACTTTTTAGGGAGAACCATTTCTCTGCCCTAACCTAGATGTTCTAGAGACATTCCTTTCTATAGTTTGGTAGGTAAGAAGGGAAATTGAACTAGGTATAATATATTCCAGTTTGGTGAGGAAAATACCAGTTGATGAGGTGAGAATTTTTGTTTTATTTTACACTGATACTCTACATCCTTAATTGTATTATGGGTTTCTTTTCAGGAAAAGGAGAGAGAACTGGATATAAAAAACATATATTCTAATCGTCTGCCAAAGTCTTCTCCAAAGAAAGAAAAAGAACTTAGATCAAGAAAAAATGGTATAGTGGCTATTACTGTTGAAAAACATATTGTAGTTGTCACTTATTAATAGTGAAATCAAATAATTCTGAAGTAGAAGGCAGGCAAAGGGGAAAAAACTTCTTTGAAGTAAACTTAAATTTCCTCGTAGCTAATTTTCAGAAATCTTGTCAACTTTCTGTTTTTCCTGAGGTCATTAAATTATGTTTTACATAATTTTTAATTTTTTTCTTATAATTATTTTTGAAACTTTTATGAAAATATGTAAGAATACTTCTGAGCGGAGATTGATTATATTACAATGAACCTTTATTATGCATCACTTAGCTTTAATAGTTACATATTTTACTAATTTTACTTCATCTATTTTTTTCTACTTCTAGAGTATTTCAAAGTAAATCCTAGCAGTCATTTCACTCATAAGTACTTCGGCATTATGCATTTTTTTTGCTTTTTTTTAAGCAAAAGTATAAATTTTCCTTTTTTGAATTGCAGAAAGTTAAAAACAAATTTTGTAAAAGCTTAATAGGGTTTACCTGTTTAAATTGTTCTCAAGTCACAGAATTGCCAGTTAACCCTAGAAACAAAAATAGTAATAGTGGGTAGGCACAGAGCTGAGCAAAACATGCATTATCTCATGTAGATGGTGAACATATAGCAGTTAAATTCCATGTCTTAGCACTGTTCAATATGATTAGAAAAATTCTTTTGTAATTTTCATGGTAGCTGCATGCCAAAGTGATTTTATAGACCAGTGTACAAAAGGAGTACAAACCAGTGACGACTTCGAGCTGGAAGAATTTCCTATAACACCACAAACAGTTATGTGTTATGAAAACAAATGGGAAGAACCTGAACGTCTTACTTTGGTGAGTTTAGAAACATGATTAGGTACTAAACTCTAGGTTTGAAGTTATTCCAAAAAACATAGTATCAAGTGTTTTAAAAGTTAGCAATGAAGCTAGTGCCATAACTGAAAATATGCAAGTAGCCTTTTCAAAAGAGGTAACACCTATGTATTTTATTAAATCCCTTTGGATCAACTCTTAGTTCTCATTGCATCTTTCAGATGCTTCAGGAAGGTTAGTTGTACCTTCTGGATTGGAGATAGCAGTTTCTTACCTTTTATGTCATCTAATAAGAAGAAGAAGAATCAGATATCTACTAATCAGATATCTAATAATCAGATAATCTAAAAATCCTCCTTGCCCTTATATTTAATAGTAAATTATAGTACTTTTCAAATGATTTTTTACAATTAGTCAACATATTTTTTTGGCCTTATTATATGAGAATTTTATAGATTAATTGAATGTTGAGCAAAGTCTTTGCAGTTCAATCTGACTTTATAAAACTAACCATTTAAATTAGAGCGAAATTCAGGGGAGTCTGTATTGGACCTTCATCGAAAAGGACTTTTATGCTGAATACCAGAAGGTTCTTTTCTCTAAGAGAGTTCTATATTTTGTGTTTACAATTTAAATCCCAAAGAAAATGATATACCAGGGATCCAGCATATTTCACATATTCCTATGTTTTTGTGCCCTGTAAGTTTCCCAGTGACCCTGAGCTCTTTTCTTGTGGTAATACCAGACAGGATGGTCTGATTTGATTCTTGGGCTGTATGTGCTAAGTGTCTTTCTTCCTATATTTTCACTGTCATTGAAACTAGATCATGTTTTCTTTTTGAAAAGGGTAAAGTGTGGAATAGAAACTCATTCTTAACTTTAAAAGGATTAAAGAATAGTCTTTATAAGATTCAGCATGAACAGTAGCAACCTGATAGGGTGAAAAGAGTACAGCCTTGGAGTTAGCACTGTTTTTTAATTAAATTCTGGTTCTAATATTTTAGTTGGGACTTCCCGGAGCCTCAGTTTCCTAGTGTATAAAAGGGGGATGGGCTACCCATCAGGGTTGTGGTAATAACTAATCACAGAGTTTATAAGGCTCTTAAGACTTCCTGCCACTTTAAAGGGTCTTAGCAAATGGGAATGTTATTAAAGTACAGACCAATAAGTTCCTGTTGGAAAGAGACCCCAAATACAGTGGCTCAAACAAGTTGCAGATTTTCTTTTTTATATAATAGATTGAAGGTCAGTGTGTAGTCCAGGATAGGTAGATAGGTTTATTCCTTGGCAGTCATCCTTTGTCTTAATGTTCTTCCATCTTAAAGAGTGTAGTCCTCCTCTGTATGGTTGGAATTGGCTCACCACCCTTGTGAGGAGGAGGAACAAAGTGGAGGGCAAGCAGCTTTTGTTTTTATAAATGTGATCGGAAGTTGCATCTGTACTTTCACTCACATCCCTTTGGTCCGTTTAGCTCCAAGGGAGGTTAGCAAATGTAGTCTCTACTTGAGCAGTCCTATGCCCTGCTAAAACTCTCAGGGATTCTGTAACTAAAAAGAAGAGGAAAATTGATACAAGGGACAATTCTCTGCTATACTTTGTATTAGGTATTTTACTTTTATTCAGAAAAATTACACACACATGGTAAAGGGACCATAAGGAACAAGTAATTTTGGGTTTACATTTTATTTATTTAAATATTTATTATAAAATTTATAGTATAAACTTGAAAAATTCAGTGCAGTTGTTACTGCCTGTATTATAGCTCAGCACCTTCTCCCATCGCCTCTCCGTACGTTGTTAATAGCCTTTTCTGGTTAACTGAATTAATCGGATTTTGCTGTGAAAATGTACAAAGCAAGGATACTTCTGAAACATATCTCTTCAGAATTGTTTGTAGAGTATTGGCTTTAATTTTATTGGTTCTGATATGTCTTCTACTTTTTAGAAAAATTTGAACTAAAATAATCTTATGTGCCTTTGAAGTATCTTTCAGAGGGTGGTAACTTGTGATTTACTGCTTTATTAAATTAAAATTTAGTTTCTAACTTGGTGTCATACTTAATGGGAGATAAATCTATGATATTTAAATGGCTTTTTCTCCCTTTTAACTTGTGAACTTGCATTTAAAAAAATATATATGTAATAGGACCTGGAATTGCAAGAAAGAGGTGAGCATGAAGAAGCAGGGATGCTAAACCCAATTGTGAAAAGAGAAGAAAAATTTGTGAAAGATCAAGGATTCCGTGTTGTAAAACAGGAGGTTGAGAAGCCGGAGGATGGTAAGAAAAGAATTTGTTTAATCAAGAGATGAATCAGCATCTTTTGGTAAAGAAAGGGTTAGCATCCCTTAATATTCTCATATTTTCCAGCTGCACAGTGAATTGGTTATACAGAATAAGAAAAGGTTGATACAGTGTTGGGGGATGGTCTTTTAGGAATCAAACATTTCAATACAGTTTTTAAGGAAGGGAAAAAATGACTGTTAAGTTGCTATTTGGGGTTAGGTAATAAGGACAGTTACCTTCAGAAAGTTCGGATGAAGTAGAATTCCGATGAAAGGGAAAATTTTTGTGTATAAATTAACTAAAACTTGATGAAGAGATAAAGACAATACACTTTATTGGCTTGGCCGTCAGACTGGCCAAAACATGAAAATCAATGAATTATGAGGCCCCAAATATATTCCTGTAAGTTTTCTTTGGTTTCAGTATGTAAAACAAATCTTTAATGTATTCAACCATTAGTATGGAAGTTTAGGGAACCAACTCATACAGTTTCAGATATTGAAAATGAAGTTCAGGAATAAATTCATTTCCATCTGGATAAAATATCTTAAATGTATAGGTGAGAAATCCTCTGCATATATTTCATTAGTCTTACAGAGAAATCCTTTTTTTTCCCCTTAAAGTTAATGGAACATAAAACTGTCGCCTAACTATTGCTTCAGTTACTGTATATATGTGTATTTTTAGTGTCTGTTTAGAGCAATGTAACAGGTAAATTAGAAAATCTATTCCTGTTGGCTAATGCACAAAGGGAGATGCTTCCACATGTTAAAATATAGAATAGAAAATTAGGTAGTATGTCCGTTGTGTCTAGGTACTGAGAAAAGGAATAAAGTAACAGAAGACTGGTCCTTTCTTTCCAGCTTATTGATTTTTTTTTTTTTTTTTCTGGAGTTTGTATAGAATGGTCTCTAACATCAGTGAAAATGTTCTAAAGCTTCTAAAGCTTCTAAAAGTTGTATATCTCATGCCCATACCTTAAAATACTTCCATGTGTATTGTTCCCAAATAAGGACATTTTCTTACATCATTCCAGTATAGTTTTCAACTTCAGAAAATTTAACTTTGATACAACACATTTCTCTAATCTGCCGTCCATATTACAGTTTTGTCAATTGACACAGTATTGTCCTTAATAGCATTTTCTTCTCCATGATATGATCATGAATTGCATTTAGTTCTCCTATCTCTTCAGCCTTCTCTAAATATTTTGTGAGATTAACATTTTTGATGAATAAAGACCCATTTTTTAAAAATTCCTCATTTGAGGTTTATCTGAAGTTTTCTCTTAGATTCAACCTAATGTATCTTCAGTAAGAATACTATATACATGATGTTGTGTCCTTCTCATGGTATGACATCTAGAGTTTCAGTTTATTTTTAATTTTAAAATAAACTCACCCCATCCATCTATCACTCTCTATTCAGTGTACCACACTGTATTAGGTATAAAAAATAGAGACCCTTCTTCCCTATCTCTAAACTGAAGAACAAAATTCTTCCTATAAATGTGAATTTTAAATGCAGTACACATTAAGTATATTCTTTGTGAATTCCAGACTATCAAGTATAGCAATGAAATTTACAGTGTTCATCTTCACTGTGCTGATAACTAAGTTAGATAGACTGTTTTGTAAAAGATGAGAATTGAGTTTTCCTAAAGATATTGACTCCTATAAAATCTCATTTTTTTAATTTGATTTCATGCAGAGTGGGAAAGAGAAGAACTTGCTAAAAAGGAAAAAGACAAGGTATCTTTGCTGGAGAGAGAAGAAAAGCCCGCATTGGAAACTGGAAGATACCAAATGGAAATGTACCAAATTCAAAACCTTGGTAAATTAGAAGAAGAGGAAGAAGAAAGGCTGAAGAGAGAAATGCTACTTGCTAAACTGAATGAAATCAACAGAGAACTTCAAGATTCTCGGAATCTAAAATGCCCTCCTCTGCCATTGCCACCTGATTTGGAATCAAAACTGCACTTCCCAGAGAGAAGCCCCAAAACATCCATGTTCTGTGAATCCTCAGAGAGAGTGTTTAATGGGCATCATTTGCAAGACATCAGCCACTTTGCTACAAAAGGAGACGGTCAGAATCCAGGAAGTATTAGAAGCCCAGCCTCTCCAAATGAGCTTGCATTTGGCAGCTATGTGCCTTCATTTGCAAAAAACACATTTGCAAAAACGTCAAATCCATTTAGCCAGAAGAGTGGCCTTTTGGATCTCCAAAGAAACAGTATAGAGAAACTTGGTAAAGACAGTGTAGATTTAATTACAAGAAAAGAGAAAAAAGCTCATCTGATGGAACAGTTATTTGGTGCCAGTGGCAGCAGCAGCACCGTTTCCTCTAAAAGCAGTGACCCAAATTCTCTGGCTGCCGGCAAAGGAGACTTGGACTCTCTCAGTTTTCCCCCTGGGGTTAAGAGCAGTAGGGATAGAGAACGTGATGAAAATGACGACTTTTTCCTCAGCGAAGGAAGAAGTTTTAATCTAAATAGACACCGATTGAAACATGCAAACAGTAAACCAGCAGTAAAAGTAGTTGAATCTGTAGAAGATGAAATTGAAGAGGTAGTCCTGAGATGACTGATGACAGTATATACTTTTTCCAATTGTAAATATTAAAATATTTTAATACAATATTTATTATACACATTTAGAATTTTTAATATGAAAAGTCCTTATTAAGGAATGATTTTTAATAGAGAAATACAGTGTAAATGAAAAGTAGATCATATCATGCCACATAGCTAGTTTGCCAAGAATGAAGGAGACTTGAATGAAACCAAAAATAGAGATGTATCTTACTTGGTTTTGACTTTTTATTTACAAATTGTTTTACCTTTTAATCAGATCTATAGGAAGTTTTACTCCATTGGAGTTCATATTTATTTCCTATTTTTATCCCTAGTTGTTTACTTATTTTTGGTCATATCCTTACTGACCTAAATATAGTCTTCCTCCTGAAAGTTGAGTGGAAATTAAGGGTGAGAGGCTCTGGGTTAGGAAGCATAGCTCCCAGATGGTGGAGAGCTGGTGCTACTTAGCAGCCCTGTGCTCCGTGGGCAGGACAGGGGTCCCTTTCTAACAAACAGGGCAAAGCTGAGCTACTCTTAAGTGGGAGCAGTGACAACACAGGGGCTGCATTTATGAGCTGCATTAAATCACTTACCTACAACTGTGCTAACATATTAAATTCAGTAGACATTTGTCTGTTTGCATGGATAATTCCCCTATCATGGCTCCCGGAGGCTTGGGTATCCTCTCCTTGTTCTCCTACACTGTTTGTATCACAGTGACTGGGTTTGAGATTTCATACCCAAATACACAAAACTGAAGAGATTTCATCCTAATATAGAAACTCAATTATGTTTCCAGAGCATGTAACTTGGAAATTCTAGTATATATTTTAAGGTTTGAACTTATGTCAAAACCAGCAATAGACAATGAGAGTGTAATACTGTTGGACTTGTAGGACTAATTATAAAGCAACCTTGGGTTAAAAATGTTTTAGAGGTGGGCTTCTGCCTTGCTAAGTAGGGCGGATGTTTTTCTGTTGAAATGCATTGGTCTTCTTCTGCTCTTTGTAGCTCACTTCATCTGCAGAGGAGTTGATGACCTTGGACTGCTGGGTATGATTGGTCTTTAAGAAGCAGTAATATATCACCAACCATGGAGAAAACACTGTTAAAATGAAGAGTGGTGGAAATAGTGTGTCAGGGGAAGCATAAAAAAATGTAGATTGACACTTATTCTAAAGTGAGCTTTTTTTTCCTTCAAAAATTTCAAAAATTTAGTATGTATTTGCTAATGGTATGATTTCTGATGCCAAGTATATATACTGATAGATGAGGGGACCAGAGTTACTGTTTTACCTTGAGTTCTTATGAATGCTGATTATTGAATATAATTTCATAACTATTTGGCAAGACTTACCTGGATAGGTCTCTAATGAAAAGATAGGCTATCTGTCATCTTCTAAATTGTGTTACTGTCATTGATTGGGAACAATCTCCCAGAAGTGCTAAACTACATTAAAATTTTTTTTTAGTAAAGAGGTTTGATGTCTGATTAAAAAAAAGCTTGTTGCAAATCATTCTAATATATGTAAACCACATCATAATTCAGTTCTTGATAAAATATTATGTAATGTTAATTTTGTTCATAGCTGCTAATTTTTCTGCCAAAAGTATTCTGATTTTTAGGTTGTTTTAAGAGGCTTTTTAAAAGCCTTTTAGTAAAGTTTTATATTGAGATCTTTTAATTAGTCTCTTGCTTTTTTTTCTACGTTTTCTAGTCTCTTTCACCAGATATAACAAGACAGGGTTTTTAAACCTAAAATTAAGTTACAGACTTAGAAGTATTATGGTGTTAGGCATTAGAATTGGAGATTAAAATGCACACAACAGGTTTTTTTTTTTATGAACAAACCTCAGAGAGTAAATCGTTTTTTTTCTAAATGTCAAGATAAATTTGTTATTTGTACTCAGAACTCTTAACTAATAAAAACTAAACACACACGATGGCTGTTTGAATGATACCTTAAGTCACTCAAGAAATTCATGGTAGAAACAGGACCAGCAGTGTTAAATTTTACTTCTTTACTCACCTTTTTCCCCCGTCCAGTATTTTTAATTAAAGTAGATGAATTTGCCCTAAATCAGGTTAGACAGTATGCTAGTCTTATCAGATAATTATAGTTTTAATTAATCCTTTCACCCTTAATAACTATCCTAATGGCATATATTGCTCATAATATAAAAAAGCGGAGAAGGAGGATTAAATTGAATCATAAACTTATTTCATGTCTGATTCGCTAGTTCTGACCCTCCTCACCATCTCCTATCAGACATACTCACCTTCTGGTATCCCTGGTTGAGTGTCAGTCAGATACAGCATGCAGATCTGCCCTATGGAAAGGGGAAGGGAAATGTGTGTTACAGTCACAATGTGGATTTTTTAGGATTCAAAAAGGAACTGTAAATTGTTAGGAAAAGATCTGCCTTTAAAGCTTTTTCCTTTCTACACAACAAATGCCCCTTTCACATTAAAGTCTCCTTTTATATCATTTGAAAGTGCTCTCTTTTTAGTAAAGAGTGTGTAGTCATTCATTAATGGGGTGCCCTGCATGTAGCAGGTGCCAGGAGAGTAAGACAGACCCTGCCCTTGCCCTCACAGTGAATGCAGAGCACAGTGAGCCAGACTGCACAGTTCCATCCCTGCCCTCCCACCCACTCTCTGAATGTCCTTGGGTTGCTCAGCTGTTACTGCTCTTTTGTAACACTTTTTAAGGTAGTTATGAGGGATGAATGAAATACTTAGGTTGATGCTTGGCAGGGTGCCTGGCACATTATAAGCACTCAGTAAACATCAGCTGTTATCTTAGGTGATTGAAGTTCTTTTAGGGTATAATTGGAAAATAGAGCATAGGTATGTACATACAACATACTGACACTACACTTTGCACAAGATAACGGGCCAAAAAAAAAAAAAACCCCACCCGAATTACCATAAAACATCTATACTAAATGTGTTGTACCTCTTAGCTTTGCACTTAGAACTTTCCTTCCTTCATTCATCATTGTGCAGTCAGCCTCATAGCAGAAATAAAATGAAATACAGAAAACATAGCACTTTATATTGCATAAGGTGATAATTTGCACCCCAGCTCTCCCACAATGTGTGTATCCTTGGATAAGCTACAAAACCTCTTTTCACCTCCTTTCCCCCCTCCCTCATGATATTGCATACATTAAATGAGTTGATATGTGAAAAACAACTGTAAAGGCTCAAATATTGATGTTTTAGAAAGGTAATGTAGAAACAAGGAAGAGAAGTGATACTTATTGAATGTTGGGCTTTACAGTTCGTGTTTTTATGCATGTGCTTTAGCTCATTTAATCCTCACAAAGTTCTTTCTAAAGTGGATACTTACTCCCATTTTACACTCGGGCTAATAGACTATATTCAATAGTCTCAAGAAGTCCAAAGAAAGAAGATATTTTAGAAAAGAATTTTGCATTTACTCTTTAAGTGGTAAATAATGGAAACCCAAATCAAACCAGCTTAAAAAAATATTATTTTTGGCTTCAATATGGAAAGCTCATTGATCTGGAGGTTCAAATAACAGTGCTTTGTCCACCTCTTAGCCTGGCACCCTGCATCTGGCACCGACCTCAAAAAGAAAATCTTTCCTATACCTCCAGCAAAAATCTGGTGGGCTAGTTTATATGCCCACCTATAGGGCTGGTGGCTTTGTATAGGGGAAGGATGACACCCTTCTGCCTCTCTTCATGGAACGATCACAACTTCTACAGAAAGGGGGAGGCATTTTTCCCTGATGAAATTTTGGACATAAGCAATTTGCTTTACAGTTATGGTGGATTTGGTTCCAGACCACCACAATAAAGTGAGTTGAATTATTTTTTTGGTTTCCTACTGCATATAAAAGCTATGTTTATACTATAGTCTATTAAGTGTACAATGGCATTATGCCTAAAAGTAAATGCATACCTTAATTAAAAAGTATTGCTAAAAAAAAAAAAAAAATACCATCATCTGAGCTTCCAGCAAGTTGTAAATTTTTTTGCTGGTGGAGGGTCCTGCCTCAATGGTAATGGCTGCTGAGTGATCAGAACGGCGGTTGCTGAAACTGGGGGTGGTGGTGGCATTTCCTGAAGATAAGACAACAAGGAAGTTTGCCACATCAATTGGCTCTTCTTTTCAGGAATGATTTCTCTGTAGCATGTGATGCTGTTTGACAGCATTTTACACACAGTTGAACTTTCAAAATTACAATCTTTTGAAACCCTACGGCTGCTTTATCAAGTAAGTTTATGTGATATGCTAAACCCTTTGTTATTTCAGCAATCTCCACATCTTCAGTAGATTCCATCTCAAGAACTCCTGTCTTTGCTCCTCTGTAAGCAGCGGCTCCTCATCCCTTCGGGTTTGATCATGCGATTGCAGCAATTCTGACACATCTTCAGGCTCCACTTCTAATCATAATTCTTTTGCTGTGTCTACATCTGCACTTAGTTTCTCCACTGAAGTCTAGAATCCCACAAAGTCATCTGTGAGGGGTAGAATCAACTTCCAAACTTCTGTTAATGTTGATATTTTGACCTCTTCCCATGAATCACATTCTTGATGGCATCTAGAATGGTGAATCCTTTCCAGAAACTTTTCAATGTACTTTTCCCAGATCCATCAGAGGAATCATTACCTATGGCAACTAATGGTCTTTAAAAAATGTGTTTCTTAAATAAGATTTGAGTGTCAAAATTACTCCTTGATCCATGGAGAGAGAATGGATGCTGTGTAGCAGGCATGAAAACAACATGCATATCACATGAATATCACTGTATGTCATCAGAGCTCGTGGTGTCTAGATATATTGTCAATGAGCAGTAATATTTTGAAAGGAGGCTTTTTCTGAGCAGTAGGTCTCAACACTGGGCTTAAAATACTCAGCAAACCATGTTGTAAACATGTGCTATCATCCAAGCTTTATTGCATTTATAGAGCCAGGCAGAGTAGATTCATCATAATTCTTAAAGACCCTAGGATTTTCAGGATGGTAAAAA